TATGATTACAGGAAGTGCCACCATACCTGGTTGCCTTTCTATTTTTTGTAATTTTAACTAAAAATAGCTGAAGACAGGGCCAGAGTATTTGCTCAAGTGGGAAAGGAGTCAGTCACCAAACCTGATGATCTGAGTTCCATCCCTGGAACCCACATGATGGAGGAAGAGAAATGACTTCCACCAGTTGTCCTCTGACCAACAAGCACTGTGGCATGAGTATATTCCTGGGCCTCAAAACAAATAAATGCAAAAAAAGAAAAGAAAAAAAAAGTTGAATAAGAAAACTTAAGAAATGTTGTAGTTTACAAATAATTGCTAATTAAGCTTCTATTTATCCTGAATGAACTCATTTAAATTCTTTGTTTCTTAAAACATATTAAACCACTCAATGGTTAGAAATAAAATAAAACAGAGTCTGGCGAGATGAGTAGGTGGTTAAGACTGCATACTGCTCTTACAGAGGACCTGAGTTCAGTTCCCAGCATCCACATCCAGCTCCAAGGGATCGAGTCACATACCCTAGACAGACACATTGTACAATTTTTAAGAAAGATAAAATAAGCCAGGTGGTGGACCTGGGTCCCAGCACTCGGGAGGCAGAGGCAGGTGGATCTCTGTGAGTTCGAGACCAGCCTGGTCTCTAGAGCGAGGTCCAGGATAACCTTCAAAGCCACAGAGAAACCTGTCTCGGAAAAAAATAAAATAAAATAAAGATATCAGGAAACAATATATTTCACTTTTGTCTCACTAGATGTTCAGAGCACCTTATAATTCACTTAAGAAGTCCATCCAATTCTCTCCCCTAATAGGTGACCCCACCTCAGTACTCTAAGCAAAACCGTCCTGTAACTCTGGAATGCTCAGGGTCTCAGCAGTAAACAATTCATATTTTTGTAGGTTAATTCTATACTAAGATACATATATTATCTCCTTAAACCCAGGCCACAAATTCTTTGAGAGTACAATGCTCCCTGTAGATAAGAGATAAAGCCCATGGTTGAAGTACTTTGCACAGTTCGTCCCCAGGATGAAGCAATGGAGCTAAGATCTGAACCTAGCTCTAATTCTGAAATCTGGGTTTTCCATATAAGAGCCACATCCTGAACCAGCAAGTAAGCCATTATATTTATACAAAAGTATAAATTACATACTTTTGTAAACAGTATTTTTTGTTTTATTTTTTTCAAAATAGTTTCTCATATTGTTTTGGAGCCTATCCTGGAACTGGCTCTGTACACCAACCAGGCTGGCCTCAAACTCAGAGAGATCTGCCTGCCTCTGCCTCCTGAGTGCTAGTATTAAAGGTGTGCACCACCACCACCCAGTGTGAACAGGAAATTTTTAAAATGTGTTCAAATTTTCTTTTTCTTTTTTTGCAAGTGGGGGTTTAAGACGGTATGGCTCAGTTTGACTTCAAACTTCTAATCCTTCTGTCTCAGAATCCCAAATGCCAGGACTGCAGGCATGTGCAGCCAAGTCAGATGCAAGTATTTTATTAGCCATTTTGCAGTATTATTTTGGCAAATATTTATTGATCTATAAATATTGGAGATATAGATACAAACAAAACATAGTCCTGACATTTGAGAAAAATAGGTAATAAAGATATAAAAAGTAAATACAGTATTTTGCATGCTGAATATAATATGATATGCCTGCAAATGTGGTGCTGAATGCCTTTAATACTAGAACTCAGGAAACAAAGGCAGGCAGATCACAATGAACTAGAGGTCAGCCTAGTAGACATAGCAAGTCTAGGGCAGCCAGGGCTATATGCTATACAATGAGACCCTAATCTTTAAAAAAAAAAAAAAAAAAAGCCAGGTGTAGTGACCCACACCTTTATTCCCATCACTCAGAAGGCAGAGGCAGAAGCAGGTGTATCTCTGTGAGTTTGAGGCCAGCCTGATCTACATAGTGAGTTCCAGAGCAGCCAGGGCTACAACAGTGAGATCCCATCTTGAAAATGTGAAAGAAAAAAGAAAGGAGAAGGAAAGGCTTATAGGATGAGAAGGGTGAGCAAAGGCCTTCCTGAGGAGGGTTCTATTTGTGATGAGATCCACATGAGGCTCTGAAGAAGCCTGAGAAGCAGGCAGTACAGGTGATACAGGCTCTTGGAGGGGCCACAGTACAAAAAAACTTTAACTTTACTGCCAACAGTATATTACTGGAGGGTTAAAACGTAGCATGAGCTGGACATGGTGGCCCACACCTCTAATCCTTTAATCCAACACTTCAGAAGTAGAAACAGGCTGGTCTTTTAGTTCGCGGCCATACCATAGAACGATCACTTCAAAAAATAAGTGATGAGTAGCTACAAAACCAGCAACAGGCTGCAGCCTGGAGACCAATGTGGGCTACACTCTGAATACAACACCAGCCAGGGTAACCCCCAGACAGACAGAAGATAATGAATGTTACAGACATGCCTAGATGAAATCAATGGAACCTGCCTATGGAATACAGCTTCAGGAAGCATGTTGGCTTATTAAAGTTTTTTCTTTGCAATGCATTAAAAGTCTGTCATTGTTACTACATGCCTTAAGATTAAGGATGCAATGAAAACATCTGAGGACTTGAGGTGTATGTAGCTTGCACAGAATTCAGGAGGCCCTGAGTCAGATGCATCATAAAATGACAGAAAGAAAACATCTCTTGAATATCTAGCACAGTCACTTAAATTTAACTGAGGTCCAAATAACTAAATATTGGATATCAGAAGAAAAGGGAGATGCAACAGCAGCATCAGGTAAATGGACAGAGAGATTGGGAATGCCCAGTTATCTATCTCACAATTTTACCTAAACAAATTTAGCAACCAAACTATGTTAAGATCTACAAAAAATTAAATGAAAATCCAGGCCTAATATACCAACTATCTGAGTCCTACTCTTCACCACTCAGGCTTTGTAAGACAGACATCCTCCAAGTGTAAAACCACATATTCAAAAATTATTCTTAGTCATTTTAGAAAGTTAAATTCCACTCCGCCATGAAACTGACAGCAGGTTTTAGAAGGCCAAATGCATTTAACTTCTTTTAACTTATGTAAAATTCACTTCTTGGATAAAATATTGCTCTCCTACTCTTGGTACCAACAAAGGAAATAAGCTCAGACACTAAACAGCAGCAGGGGCAGGAAAAATTCTGACTGGGACAGTGTGTAACTGTCACTTGTGATCCCACAAAACAGAGATAGGGACCAATTTATTCTTGAAAATAATGTAACCAAAAGGTTGAAGCACTAGAGACCAACAGTAGGGAATGTAAAAATGCTTCATAATTTAAAACAGGGTGGAAGATGTTCTAATCACATCAGCACTAATACTGATGTACCAAATACATCAAACACTGTTTCAGTGTTAATGACAGATCCAAACCCTAACTACATCATTTTACTGAGTAGCCTTTAACAACCTGACATTTCTGAGCCCTTAGTTTCCTCGTTTGTAATTAATTCAATAGATTATAAAGTACATTATAAGGTTAAGGAAATGGCTGGCATGTGGCAGATACTTAGCATGTGAGTCTTTGAAGGTGGCAGCTTATTTGATATTGCAGATCTTAATTTTACCACTTGGCAAGAAATAAATGAAAAAATCTGATAATAATAAGCAGAAATTACCTAATTCTGTCTTTTTTTTCCTCAAGTATCTTTCAAGGCACCATATTTCAAAGAACCAGAGAACAACTATCCCATCAATAACTTTTTGAAGTTTTATCCATTTGTTCACGATCAAATAAACTCAAAAATATTACAGAAGCAAAGACAAATGTGCAATAAGAAATTGCACTTTAATCCCAGCACTCAAGAGGAAGAGACAGGTGGATCTCTTTGAGTTCCAGGCCAGTCTGGTCAACAAACGAGTTCCAGGTCAGGCTCTAAAGTTACTGAAAAACCCTGTCTCGAACCCCTTCCCCAAAAAAAGAGGCTGTAAGGATAGAAAGCAAACTAAAACTCAAATAAATATGTGTGAAATTGGGATTAAAGCTGCTTGGAACTTACTATGTAGTCCAAACTGGCCTCTAACTTGTGACAATCCTCCTGCCTCAGCCTCCAGAATAGCATGAGCCACCACGCCCAGTTTAGCAAACCATATTTTCAGAAGACCTCTTTTCTATATTAAAGTGGCGATGGGGGGAGAATCCCAAGGGTTGAAGGCAAAAACAAACAAAACCCCAAAACCCGTGTAATTGGGGGGGGCAGTATTATATGATAAAATAATTATTTAAAAAAATCTACTTCCCATTTTGATTGCCTATGCAAACAAACTCAATTCTGTAAAACGTACTTCAGGTGATTAAAAGTGGCCGGATACATTCTATGCTTCAGTACCAATTATAAAATACTGATAACAGTTTCTCAGGTGTGTGTCGTCAGTATCCCGAAGTCTGCGTTTTACTCTTGCAAACACAGGTAAAAGGGAAAACAGGTGGTCGCCTCACAGTCTGTTGGAGCTCATATTGCTACTTCACATTCAACCTCCTTAAAACACAAGCCAAGTTTTACCTATATTAATCAAGAGAAGGCCCCTTTTCATACACATCACAAGTTTCAGGTCGGCGGAAAACTGAATGGTTTAACATAATCCAGGAAAGTGAACAGCTTACACCATAGCTTGACTACTACCAGGAAACCCAGAAATCATTAACACGTCAAGGCCTGTAAGAAATAAACGGACGCTACAATTTCCGTGAAGGCTCCGAAAAATCAACAACACACCTTCCAAGGCTCGGAAGGAAACACGTAAATCTCTATGGGTCTAGGCCCAACGGCCCAAGGTCACGCCAAATGAGACGCTAAAAAATTCCAAGCAATGAGCCCCCTGCAGATCAGGGCAACCCTACCTAGCAATGGAGTCTGGGCTTGGGAACTCTCACGTACGAGCTTTACTGTAAACCCCAACTGAATGCAGGCCCCGTGGGCAAACCCCGGAGTGTTTCGGGCCGCATTTCCTCCATTTCCCTAGTATCCCCTTCCTAGTCGCCCCCACACTCACATCTCCGGAGCCACTTCATCCAATGGTAGACGATTGTACTGTGGTGTTTCTTGTTCTCTATACACCAGGACGACAAGCCTTGAATGGATTCCATGGTGTTGGTCACCGACTGGAACTTTCGATCCAACGAGGACTCCAGGGCCCCTGCGGACGAGGCCGACGAGGAGGAGGCCTTACTGCTGCCTCCGCCGCCGCCGGCCGCCATCTTCCCGGTTTGCACAAGCGCCGCTGGTCCTCTGGCGGCGGCGGCGGCGGCGGCAGCGGCGGCGGCAGCGGGCAAAACAATCACTGCGAGTGCGTGAAAGCCGCAGGAGGGGAGGGAGGCCAGGGGGTGGGGATGGTGCACGCGCTAGGCTCTTCTGGAGGTAGGAAGACTAGCTGCTGGGCACGCTGGCGGCTCCCACACGCTCCAAGGAGGGGCTGCGGGTTTCGAAGGTTTGTCAGTAATGGTTCGGGGGTCGTGTTTAAACCAGTAGTCGGGAGAGAGACCTACGCAGAAGACAGGACCTGAGACGCCTTTCAAAACGTCCAGCGCCGAAACTAATGGTTTTATCCTTAAGGCCCTCAACTCTCAAGGCCCTTCCCTCATCCCGTTGGCCAAACTCCGGTGAGCCAGGGAAGCCTCAGTACCAAAAAACGTAATACTACCAGACTGTCCCTTCGGCTGCAGAAAGCTTTTCCTTTGGATTCTCTACCACAGAGAGGGCCCAAAGCTACCTAGTCAGAATTTTTTTTGCAACGCAATAGCAGCAATGGACCAGCCAAGGCAGTGCGCACGCGCGCGGTAGCCCCGCCCCCTCCGCTTCCTTCTCAACCTTGAGGGCAAAGCGAGGCGTGATAGCGCTGCAATCCGACCAATCAAGGGAGGGGTCGGAGGAGCGCGCGCAGGAACCGGCAAGCCCTGAACGCTGGGGAGGCGCTGCGTTGACTTGCGCGCCTGCGCGTTAAGTCTGCGCACAGCGGGTTGGGAGGAAAACCTGGGGAGACAGGATGGAGGAGCTGGGGAATGGAGGACGTTAAGGGACCGGTGTTTAGTGCTCCGCCCTGCGCCTTTCGCTTCATAGCGAGGTTGCTCTCTTGCAGCCTTTAGCCCGCACAAGGCGGGGGAACTCCCCCCGTTTTGTGGCCACTGTTCCTGGCATCTGCAGCTACATCCTCTACCACCCCTAAATCGGGGGTGGACGCGCGACAAAATGGCTGGCACCCATCTTGCGGCGTGGTTGGAGGTGCGCATGCGTCAGGTCCAGTTAGCCGTTCCCTACGCAGACTCCTAGACTACTAAATGGTGTTACACACCCGATTTGGGTGACACCGTTCACAGCCAGTCGACCGCCCGCATTTAGAAAGACGGAATTAAACGAAAATATCACTGTAAACGAGTAAAGAATAATTGACAAAATGTGGCTTCTTTGGCCGGTTATGATAGCCTCACCGTTGCGTAATGCGATATAGTACAAGTATTGCGTTTATTAGCATAAATTCAGATTAACCATTACGTCTCATCTGCCTGTGTTAATCTTTTGGGAAATTTTGGAGGTTCGTGTATTTCTAATAAATAGAGCAATTTCACATTTAGTATTCATAATGTCTTTGTGCCAAGAACTGCTTTAGGATTAGGGAAATGATAGCAAAACAAAATTCCTTCAGCTTGAGTTGATAGCAGGATCAAACCACGAGTGTGTGTGCCAGGGAATAAAGAGGCATGGAATAGGGTTAAAGGAGAAAGACTGCGTATGCATAAAAATGGCGTGAACCAAGTTTTTTTTTTTTTTTTTAAAGATAACTTGGCTGGGCAGTGATGGCCCACATCTTTAATCCCAGCACTCAGGAGGCAGATGCAGGTGGATGTCTGTGAGTTTGAAGCCAGTCTGGTCTACAAAAGTAAGGACAGCCAGGGCTGTTACACAGAGAAACCCTTGTCTCAGTAAAAAAGAAAAAAAGAAAAAAAATGTAAGGGAGAGATGGCTTAGGGGTTAAGAGCACTGACTGCTTTTCCAAAGATTCAGAGTTCAATTCCCAGCAAACACATGATGGTTCAGGGGACCATCTGAATGAGATCTGGTGCCCTCTTCTGGCATACATGCTGAAGTTAATAAAGCCAGTAAGGCAGAAGAGGTCAGAAAGCATTGAAACAGGGTTTCTCTGTATAGCCCTGGCTGTCTTGGAACTAGCTCTGTAGACCAAGCTGTCATCAGACTCACAGAGATCCTGTCTGCCTGCCTCCCAAGTGCTGGAATTAAAGGCCTGTGCCTCCATGCCTGACTGGGGTTTCTTAAATAAAGAAATTACAACAGTTTTAAAGACCTTAATGACTCTTAAGATTCTAAAATAAAACAATTTCTCATTCCATACCATGAATATTCTGATGAGCTGAGCAGAAGCTTGGCATTGCAGATAGAAAAATAGAAGTAAAAACAGAGTGTTTGCAAGATATTTTCCTTCCAAAGGTTAAAGACAGGACTTCCTTATCATGCTGGCTATAACTGACCTGCTTGGGGATTTGACTATGAGCTCTTTCCTGGTTTCTTGGGAGATCAAAGTAAACAACTAAAGTTTCAGTTGATCACATGGAGCTTTAACATGTTTTACCTGTGGCCGGAAAGCTCCAGCAATCCTCCTGTCTACCCAACACTAGCTGGGGGTTCTCGGTTCATAGACACTAGCTGCCACAGTTTTTTGTTTGTTTGTTTGAGAAATGGTATAATTGCATAGTCCTGGTTGGCTTCAGAGATACACTAGCCTCTGCCTCAATGGGTTTACCTAGTGCTTCACCATGAATGGCTGTTGATGGTCTTAACTTTGTATTTTTCTGTTGGATATGTAACAGTTTCAGAGTAAGATTATTGAATCCTACCAGCCATTGAGGCTGTATTCTGGGATGGAAATGCCAAAGATCAACCTTAGGGTAAAAGAGGGGACTCTAAGCCTTTGAGCTCAAGAGTAGGTAGTAAATAAAGCACATCCTGATGGGAGATGTCATTCTGTATATGTTTCTCATACTGGTTAATAATAAAGCACTGTTGGCCAATAGGAAAGGAAGATAGGAGGGACTAGGAGACAAGGAGGAAATAGGAAGTAGTAAGGAGGAGTCAAGATGGAGAGTCTGGAGAAAGCAGTATGCCGCCGGCTCCCCGGTAAGAGAAATACATAGATCAGCAGAAATGGGTTAATAATTAAGGCAGAGCTAGCCGATAAGAAACAAGTAACCGCGCCAACAGTATTGTATCAAATACAGAGTCTCTGTGTATTATTTGGGGCTGGTGGCGTGGCGGCAGGACAAGACCAGCGGTGGCGGGCGGAAACACCATACACGTTACAAATGGCGCCCACGTGGCTAGTAAGATCTTCCACTAAAAATTTAACAAAAGGTTAAAAAAGGGTTTGGAAACAAAAGAACAGAGATAAGCAAGGTTTCTTGGTAGCAGCATTTTTCTCAGTTGAACTCTGCTTTGCTAGAGACAAGCAGATATTCGCGCTGCTCCTTTAAGGGAAGATTCCTGACTCAGCTTAAGTGGCAAAAAAAAACCGCACAGCTTTTAAATAACTCTGCTAACAATTTATTGGTGTGTATGAGAGATGGAAATGGCAGTGACCACATCTCCAAGCAGGCAGCATGCTTTCTGGGTGGCAGCGCAGACCAAGGCGGTGAGCACAGCTCTCAGTGCTGGCAGTAAGAGTACCCGCCACCATCTTTGGTAAACTGCGGCAGAAACAAAGACTTTCATTTTAACAATGTTGTTGTTTAACAGATAAAGACTCATGGCCAGAAAAAGATAAAGATTTACAGTAAAGACAGATTCATATTAAGAAAAACCTCTAAAGGTTTACAGTGTGTTTTAAAATATACGTAGACATGAAAAAAAAAAAAATGGTTTTAAAGAGACAAAGAGGAACTGGGTGTTGTAGCACACGCCTTTAATCCCAGCACTCAGGAGACAGAGGCAAGCAGATCTCTGTGATTTGCAAAGTAAACCTGGTATGCAGAGCAAATTCCAGGACAGATAAGAGTTACACAGTGAAACCCTATGTCAAGAAATAAAAAATAAAAGTAAAATAAACAGAGTAATAATAAAGCCACGTAAAGATGAAAAGCTCAGAGAGAATCTGGTTACTGTATGCTATAGTGTTGTCTCTGCATTGTTTGACTGCTGAGAAAATAACAACTGATAAAGGAAATGCTGCTGAATTAATTCAATTTATATATTTTAAAAATGCTTTGACTCAAACATTTAAGTTCAAGGACAAGTTACTGGGGAAAAGGATTTCTATTTTTGTTTCCACAGAAAATAAAAAGCTGTGGATTCCTTCCAGACTTATGTGGTTTGAGCAAGCCAGACCCCCTGAAACAGAGTCGCTGGTGATCCAACATTCAAAACAGCTTGGACAAGGCAGTCTTGCAGACTACAGCCAGGATTTCTACATCTTCTCAGGATCCCCCATGACAGCGCCCCCTGTCAGCAGGAAGTAGTTTGGAAAGAACGACGCCCAAATTCCCAAATATTGTTTATAAATGTTTGTTTTCATTTAAATGGACTTGGTTATAAATGGTTAATGATCATAGCCAATTCTTTTTAAAGGTAAAAAGGGAATTATGGTATAGATATGAATACTTTGTTTTGGAATGGATTTTCATTTATTGATACAATTTAAGGTCAATGTTGTATATGTATATTTCTCTTCTTGTTTATGTATTGTGTTTATATAGCTCATTTAAAAATGTAATGTATAATTTAGTACAGATTTTAGATAGTTACCTATAATAGTCAAAACATAGCTAGGTGAGTTAGGTTTTCTAGATATGCAGATGTATTTGAGATAGATAGATATTCTTCAAATCTTTCAAAGACCTACAGAATATGGCATTTAAAATGGTTTAGGGTTTTTCTTGACAATGAGACATAATTGTTCCTGGCAACACCACCTGCGTCAGAAAGGAAGATGAAGATGGACATTGAAGAAACTCATTATGGAGTTTACTTCCAATATGGCAAGACTAGCCATTTGGACAAGATACTGCTCTTGTCTGGACTGTTTGACTTTATGCTGTATATACTGGACATGCAGGACCCACAGAAAAGTGACTGCTGATTCAAGATGGACATTGCTACAGAGATCCTGCTTCATGGAAGAGTCTTCGAGACAGTATGCAGGACACAGAGAAAAGTGACTGACAAACTGCCAATACAAGAAGACAGTTTAAAGTTTCCTGTGTTGCTGAAGAGTCTGCCAGACACACTATGGCCTATGGGCTGAAGATGGAAGATTACAAAAGAACTTCGGGTGACCAGGCAGTGAGTTGTCCCTGTCATTTCTAGAGTTTATACTATCCTTCTGTGGTCTTTGAGGGACTTGAAGACAGAGAGTTATGGTTACAGTTTTCCTTAGTATTAAAGATAAGTTACTTAGACTTTAGACACACAAAGATATGATAGATGATGGAATATTTTCTTCAAATCTTGCTAAATGTTAATGGACTAAATAGTGTTAACTGTGATTCTTATTTGATAACTGTTATGTGATATATTTTGCTATGTTAAGGTTAAAACCCTTCTTTTTATTTAGACAGAAAAGAGGAGATGATGGGAGATGTCATTCTGTATATGTTTCTCATACTGGTTAATAATAAAGCACTGTTGGCCAATAGGAAAGGAAGATAGGAGGGACTAGGAGACAAGGAGGAAATAGGAAGTAGTAAGGAGGAGTCAAGATGGAGAGTCTGGAGAAAGCAGTATGCCGCCGGCTCCCCGGTAAGAGAAATACATAGATCAGCAGA